CCCCCGCCGCTCTCCCCAGCCCCGAGGCGGGGCCGGGGCTCAGGTCGCCCTCCCGGTAGCGGCGGGATGTGGCTGCCGGAGCTGTGCCTAGCGCTCCTCTGCGCGGCCGCGGGGACCGGCTCCCCGGGGGCGGCCCGGGACCAGCCGCTGGGAGCAGCCGCCCCCCGGGCGGGCGGTGCGGACCCGCGGCAGACTTGGATGCTGCTGGCCGGGAGCCCGAGGCGGGGGAGCGGCGGCCCGGCCCGGGGCAGGACGGGCAGGGTCCGGGACGGGCCGGGGGCTGGTGCGGCGCAGGCTGCGGTGCGAGGCGGTGTGCCGGGCCCTGCCGCTGCTCCCCCCGCGGCCACCACCGCGCTGGAAGAGCTGCTGAGGGAGCTGCAGCTCCTGCTGAAAGGTACCCGTCGGGTCGGGCAGTGCTGCGGGAAGTGGAGAGACGAAGGGGGACCCCAGGGCAGGAGCCGGGGACAGCAGGCGTGAGGGACTGCGGGGCTGGGCAGGACAGCCGGGCACAGTCTCGTCTCTGGGCCTGGAAAAAACAAGGTTCCTTCCTAAATTCAGGCCTGGGTTGGGTTTTTGGGTCAGGCACGGTGAAGGAGCAGGCAAAGACATGCAGGAAAGCCTGGGAAGGGTGCGAGGAAGAGGAGGAACGTGGTGAAGATAACCCACAGGCCAGGTCCTATCGTCACGTGGAAGCAGCCTTCCACTGCCGGACACGTGAAAACATCTCCGTTCAGCAGCGAGCACGGCAGGAGCTGCAGCTTTACTACATCGTGAGTGCCCAGCCTGCCACCCCTTCTTGCCTGCAGCATCTGCCTGCCCATGGGGGCACCCGCCACGACACAGGGGCTCATTCTCTAACCCAAGCCTTTCCTCATCCCCAGCCGGAAAGGGAGAGGATGTTCCAACGCGGCTCTGGGCTGAACCTGACCAGTGGGCAGTACACAGCCCCCGTCACAGGGTACTACACCTTCACCACCACGCTGCATATTGGTGAGCCCCTGGCACCCCCCAGGGCCCTGCCGAGGAGGTCCGGGATGGCTCTCACCCTCCCATTTGTCCCAGTGCACAGAGAGCAGCGGAGGAAGGGGCAGCCGCGCAGGGGGAGTCGTCTGCGGGTGCTGATCTGCGTGCAGTCCTGCTGCCAGCACAACAGGTACAGCAGGGCCAAGTCGGGAGGGCAGAGGGACCCTGGGCCAGGGAGGGAGGAAGGAGTCCAGCGTCCCCAGGGGAAGGAAGGACACGCTCTCCCCAGCGCTCCCTCATTTGCAGCAATCTGGAGACCGTGTCCCGGTTGGAGAGCAGCGGTGACTTTTTCACCGTCTCTGTCACTGGAGTCCTTTACCTGCAGGTTAGTGGTGCCAGCTCTGCTGGGGACTGTGCTGGGCAGGAAAGGTGTCTTCTGTGGCCCCAGCTGGGGCTGGGCACCGAGTCTGTTTCTTAGCCCAGCACCAAGTGCAAAGGATGCTCAGGGCTGAGGTCTGCTGTGACACTGCAGCACCACCGTGGTTAGGCTGCCCTCCCAATCTCTACCTTTTTCCCAGAAGGAAGGGGGGTGAGCAGCCCCTGCAGTGCTTTGCTGCTGTGTGCAGGGGAGAGCTCTCTCTTTTGTTCTGCCAGGCTGTGCTGAGAGGAGGTGTCCTGGCCCTGTTAAGCCCTCTCTCCCTCCAGGCTGGACAGTACGCCTCTGTTTTCGTGGACAACACCGCAGACTCTCCCCTCACTGTTCAAAGCGGCTCTGATTTCAGCGCTGTTTTGTTGGGGGTGTGAGAAGGCAATGGACACCACGCAGGGAGCTGAACCTGGGCCAGGAGCAGCTGGACCCTTCCCTCTGCCACCCACTGTCACACCTCCCCTGCTGAGCACCAAGCCCAGGGAAGACCTTTTGCTGCTGCGGGAGCTGCAGGCTGGTCCAATACCGTTCGTGGTGCAGAAACATCTGAAGCTGGACGAAAGATCAGGGAGGAAAGGTTGATGATAATAATAATAATAATAATAAAGACACCTGGCAAGGCGCTACAGTTTACTTTTATCTGAAGGCTAGGGCTAGAAGTTTGTCTTCGAAAACGCTGCTGACAATGGTGGCAGCTGGCCACTTTCTTCTGTGGGGCTCAGCTCTCACCATGCCTGGCACCTGTGCATGGGATGAAGCCCCACACCTCCATTTTCTCCCTGAGCAGATTTCACTGCCCAGCTTCTCAGCAGCCCCAAATAGATTATTTGCATCGCTTTAGCTACCCTGCACTCTATTAGCAGTCAGTGTTTGCTGGTAGAAGCCAACGTCCTTCACGGTTAATCTTCAAAGCAGAGCAATATCCTAATAATGCCGCACATTTCGATTAAAGCAAATTCCTGGCACGTGGCTTTCCATGCCAGGCACTCCCTGCCTGTGGGCAACCCTTGCTTGGGCTCCAATGGCCACCTGAGCTGAGGATGGGCGCAGGGCTACATGCCTGAGCAAGGGCTGCCAGAGAGGTACTCAGCCAAGCTGGGTGTAGGGCAAGGCACCGCAGGTTTCATTTCTTAGTAGAACGTAGCACTAGGTAAGCTGTACCAGAAGCCCTGCAAGATAGCCCAAACAGCACCCAGCCCCACCTTCCCTGAGGGATCCGCGCACGTCAGCAGTGGGGAGGCTCCTCCTCATGCTAGACCTTGCTTATGAGGGCTTTCCTGGCCCTTGCCTAGCCTTTTCCTGAGGTAGCATCTCAAGGAGAAGAGAAGACTGAGGAGGGAATCTCATCAATGCCTACAAATACTTAAAGGGTGGGTGTCAGGAGGACAGGGCTGGTCTTTTTTTCAGTGGTGCCCAGTGACAGGACACAAACTTGAACTAGGAAGTCCCATCTGAACCTGAGGAGGAACTTCTTTGCTGTGAGGGTGGCAGAGCCCTGGCAGAGGCTGCCCAGGAAGGTGGTGGAGTCTCCTTCTCTGGAGACATTCAAACCCCCCCTGGACACGTTCCTGTGGGACCTGCTCTGGGTGGCCCTGCTCTGGCAGGGGGTTGGAGGAGATGATCTCCAGAGGTCCCTTCCAACCCCACAGCATTCTGTGAGCCTGGTGAAGTAGCTGTTGCTGCAGCCCTTTGTGGGCGGATCCAGGGAGAAGGCACCTCTGTCTGTGCAGTTTTCTGAAAGATGAGCTTTTCCCCCAGCTTAATGGGTGAGCAGCAGCATCCTGGCAGACACAAGGCCTCTGCAGCTTCTGCCAAGCTGAGAAGCTCAGCCCCAGCAGCATCACCCAGTTACCACGCGTGACCCAGAGCAAGGCAGTGTCTCTCAGCATTTCCACACGGACCAGCCTGGGGTGGTAGTCTCAGAGCTCCCTACAGCAGCAGGACACTGCTGAGCAATGAGGCAGGGAGCATTTATTTTCAGGAAACCTTTTGTAGACCCCACCCTACCAGGAAATACATGCAGTTTTTTTGACTTCCACTATACTGGGGGTTGAACCTGCCTTTCTAACTGGCTGGCTACTGACAAGCCTAGCGAAACCTGCTCCAGAGTGCTTACTTTTTTCCTCTTTGCCCTGAAAAATAGGCAATACAATCCATTTTATGGAAGTCATTAACTGTACCATAACACTGCGTATTATGTTGGAGTTGTGCTTTCAGTACTCTTTCTAAAGGGAAGGAAAGAAGAGTTGTAAGAGGAGGGAGGGGGAGAGGAGACAGTTAGAGAAGGACAAGCTGATACTTCTCTCACCAGCACTTGTGCTGGAATTAAGAGGGGCCTCCTGGAAGGGAGCACCAGAGAGACGGGTGCTTGGCTCAGCTCCTGCAGCACAGCACACAGCTCTCCCCAGTGCAAGAGCTGCAAAAAGCAGGGAGGCAAGAAGGGAGGGCAAGTTGCCCTTCTGAGATCTGCTGTCAGGGTTTCTTTTGCCGCACACTGAATAAACTCTGTGCTGCTCCAGTTTGGCTCTCCAAATTTGGCTTTCAAGAGCAGTGGCGGCATGTGCTGTTAATAAAAGGCAATTCCCTCTCAGCTCATCCTGCAGTGCAACCTGACATCAGAGTATGCAGGAACGGCTGGGAGCAGAACAAGCAGGCAGAGGTAAGCAGTACCCAAAATATGAGTGCCAGAGGCCTGCCTCCGTCCTCAGTGTTCTGCAGATGTGGAGAGTTAGCGTGAGCTGGGCTGAGTTAGCTAAAGTTCATAAGGCTTATGCTGACAATTAGGCTGACTTCTGCTGTAGCAGAAATAGATGAAAGTCAAGCCGTCTGCCCCAAACAAGAGGACAGGTTTTGCATGCTTGAGAAAAACAGACAGCCCTGTAGCTGGGGCCATCTCCCAAAGCTCCAGGAAGCACAGGGAGCAGAAGAGGGCCTGCAAAGCATCATAACCCTGCACGGGGCTACCCACAAAGTGGCAGGCACCACTGCACCACCCTGCCCAACCTCTCTGGGTCTGCACCGTTTCTCATGCAGAGTAAGGATGTTGTGCAAGAAACCACTGCACACTCTTACCCAGGGAAGGCTGTGCCATCTGGAATTTAAGTGCTTTGATAGCCCAGTCCATTTAGCTTCCACACTGTCATATGATCTTAAGCCATATTTTACTCTTGAAAATAGCACACCAACTCTCTGCAGCAACAGCTGGTAGAGGAATAGGGACAGGATGAGATACCAGACACTTAATAGCAACAAGTACCTAAACCCCGAGATGCCTGCTCCTCGGATAGCACACAGACAAGCACACAGCCTTGCCCTTATCTCAGCTGCCTGCCAGCTCCATTTGATGAAAACACTTTCCCTATAAACATCAAAAGCAAAATTCAGCCACTTTTGCCATATCAAATATTTTTTTCTCTCTACAACTCCCTGAAAGGAGGGTGTAGCCCTGTAGAGGAGGGGAGTGGTCTCTTCTCCCAAGTAACAAGCAACAGGACAAAAGGAAATGGCCTCAAGTTGCACCAGCAAGGGGGGTTTAGGATGGATATTAGGAAAAATTTATTCATGTTATGTTATTGATCATAGGAGGAGGCTGCCCAGGGCAGTGGTGGAATCCCCATCCCTGGAGGTATTTAAAAGACAGGTAGACAAGGTGCCAAGGGACATGGCTTAGTGGTGGTTTGGACAATGTTTGGTTAATGGTTGGCCTTGATGATCTGAAAGTTTCCTTCCAACATAGACGATTCTATGATTCTAAAAACTGGGATAAAACCCCCATGTTTTCTGCAAGCAGAGGGGAGGTACAAACACCGTTTGCAGAGCAGCAGTGTATCACTCACCTGCATGCAACCTCACAACCCAACTTCAGAACCAAGATTTTCTTCCCAGCACAGAGGATAGCTCACACCACATCCCAAGCCAGTGGCCTGAGGTAATGTACAGTACAGCCTGACCGGGAGCTCCCACTGAGTCCTAAGAGCTCAGGACTCTCCCAGGGCCTCATACAAAGCTCAGAAAAACGAACAGCAGAACTGCACCATTTGGAACAGCTACAACACCTGGCAGACTCCATGCCCAGAGATGCCTGATCTTGCTAGCACCTCTGCCATACCAATTTATTTGGTTTGCCAAGATGTTCACAGAATCACAGAATCTTAGTGGTTGGAAGGGACCTCTGAGATCATCGAGTCCAACCACAAAAAAAAAAAACCAAAAAAAACCCCCACAACACCAAAAACACACCACACCACACCAAACGCCCACCAAAAACACCGCACCCACCAACTAAACCCCACACTCAACACCTCCCCATAAACCAATAACCTTGGGCACTAGAGCATGCCCTGAAGAGCCATGTCTATACGTTTCTTAAATACCTCCAGGGATGGTGACTCCACCACCTCCCTGGGCAGGCTGTTCCAGTGCCTGACCACTCTCTCAGTAAAGTCATTCTTTCTAATATCTAATCTAAATCTCCCTTGCCGCAACTTCAGACCATTTCCTCTGGTCTTGTCGTTCGTCCTTTGGGAGAAGAGGCCAATACCTGCCTCTCTACAACCTCCTTTCAGGTAGTTGTAGAGGGCAATGAGGTCTCCCCTCAGCCCCTCAGCCTCCCCTGAGCCCCCCTCAGTTCACAGGGGCATTGACAGGACAAGAGATTTCTGCATAGGCCGGTCCACTGTGGCAGCCACTTAGAAAACACTGCTAGCCAAGCGAGCTAAAACTATTAGAAAAAAAACCAAAACTTTATTTACACTGAAGAGCATCCAGCAGGACCCTCCCTCCCCCAGCCACACATGCACACACACGCTGACTTCTCTCTTCCCTTCCATCCACCACAAGCCGGGGGTCCTGCTGCAGCTCCTCCTCTCTCAGTGCTCTATTCGGACCACCATGACCGTGACATTGTCCGCTGACCCTCGCTGCACTGCCTTGTTGGCCAGTCTGTTACATGCAGCTTCGTATCGAGCATCTGCTTCTAGCTTTCCTTCTCTCCTCTGGATGTTCTTATCCTGTTGGGACGAGGAAAGACGACGCTGATTGCTCCTAGCAAAGCACGCAGGTACAAGCACATGGTAATTTCCAAGTATGGGGAACAAAACAAGTAAGGATGACCAGAGGTATAAGGGAGCACACCCTGGCAGAATTACATTTCTGCAAGCCAGGTTTTTTGTGATTTGTACTGACAAACTCAACCCCAAAACTGTCTTCTCACCTCCAGGCAGGACACGATGAAGTTCACAGCTTCTTCTGGTGTAAAGACTTTAAAGAGGCCATCACAGGCTATCAGAATGAACCTGGAAATCAAGCAGAGCCAAGTTCCAAGGCTGAATTTTTGGCTCCCCAGCCACAGCAAAATCCCTCCAAGCTATTTTAAGAGTGCCCACACTCCAATCCAAAGGGAAGATGCCATAAAGCTCATCTGAAAATCCCCTGGAAGCACCAGAACTCTTCTGGTGCTCCAGAACCTACCACTTATGGAGCTGAGG